CCAGAGCTGGAGCCTTGTCATGGATAAAGAAGGGTGGAGGATGGGCTTACCAGCCGGGAACTGCCTCTCCAAAGACACCAGGTCCAGATTTCCTAAGACTATCTAGAGATAAAGTCCCACGAGGCATCCCCTCCCGCCCCAGATTCCCTGCCCCTGTCCTCCATGCTGGACAATGCAGCATAGGTTCCACTAAGGTAGAGGTTAAGTTTCGTGCACTCCCAGCAGGCAATCAGGCAGAGAAGCGTTCACCTACATCCTAGCCGGGCTATGGTTTGGAACCGGGCAATGGTCCCAAGCCCCAGCAGCGGCAGGAGGGCAACCCTTACCCATGCTGGCTCTGGAGCGAGCTGGGTGGCGTTGCCCATCCCCGGATCTTCGCCGGCCGGTGGTGGGACGTGGGTCTGGGGTCGGCCCGCCAACCTGCCAGCAGAGGTTGTAGGATTCGAGCAAGCCAGGCAAGGCCACACAGGGCGGGGCCCTGAGAGCTATCCTGATCGTCCGGACCAGAGAAAAAGATCTGGCCACAGCGCAGTCCGGCGCAACAGCCAGGACACAGGGCAGCACGGACAGGCGTCCGTCAGGCTTTCAGCATTCCCCCGGCCGCGGCCGCAAAGAATCCGCGGGAGGCGGAGCCGCGCGCGACACATGGTGCGGGCCCCGCGCCTCTTCGGGCCGCCGGGGGGGGGGGGGGTGTGAAGAAGGGAGGGGCCTCCCAGGGCCTCGAAGCAGAAGCTCCCGGCGGCCTAGAGCGCGGCTCTTGCGGCCCAGCCCCCGCCCCGGCGCGCTGGCCCCAACACTCACCCGTGGGGCTGGCACGATGGCGGCAGCGGCGGCGGCAACCCAGCGCGGTCTGCGACCGACTGTCCCTTCCCCCCTGCCTTCCCTCGCCCGTCCCGCTGCACTCTGGGAAACGTAGTCCCAATACACTCCTTATGTGCGTCAGTGAGCTTAAATAATACTACAATTCCCAGAGTGCTCTGCGCGGAGGCGCAGCCAAGACTCGTAGCGCGGGAGGAGAGGCTAAGTCAGAGAGGGCGGCTGTCGGAGCGAGCCCCTGAGAATTGTGGTCTAGCGGAAGCCTCTGGAACACGGAGTTGGCGCCAGGCAAGGATCAGGTCTCGTCGTAGCCCGGTCCCAGCTGTCCGGGCCCCGCCTAAACTGTGTAGTCGATGGTGCCTGACCCCGCCTCCGTGGGAGCCCTGGTCTAGCTTGACGCTGGCCTGGCTTGTTCCAGTATCCCCTTCCTGGTCCCCTAGGCTGTATCTGCGTCCAAAGCCTACTCCCTTTAGGCGCTCTGGCTACTAGTTCTGCTCACGGTGTGGCCTTAATTCTTAACCCGCGTGGCGAAAGCCCACTCTTCTCTTGTCCCAACATTCGTTGAATTAGCTCTGTCTTGGAGGGAGCTACTTACCTCCAAAGTTGGTTGCAAACTGACTAAGCTTTTTTTGGCCCGAGACTCAAAAAACGCCCCTTAGGTGGGCCATAGTTGGGAGAGGTCAATCTCACTTGTACAGAGAGGGATTTTCAAAACAGAATCCTGAGTTGTTTTTTGGTTTTGGTTTTCGTTTTTAAATTTCTAGGTTTTGTTTTGTTGCAGCAGAGAAATTATGAATTTTTTTATTTTTTTTACATTTTATTTATGTTGACAAAGGACGAGCCAGGCATGCGTGCATGCATGGAGGCTACAGGAAGCTTACAGGAGTCAATTTTTCACATGTGGCCTGGAAATAAGATTCTCAGGATTAGAGGCGTTACTTTATCCTCCGAATTTATTTTTCTTTTTCTTTTCTTTCTTTTTTTTTTTTTTTTGAGACAGGGTTTCTTTGTGTAGCTCTGGCTGTCCTGGAACTTGCTCTGTAGACCAGGCTGGCCTTAAACTGAAAGATTCGCCTGCTTCTCTCTCCTGAGTGTTGGGATTAAAGGCGTGTGCTACCACCACCCAGCCCGAATTTTAAAATTTTTTGTTTTGTTTTGTTTTGTTTTTGTTTTTCAAGACAGGGTTTCTCTGTGTAGCTTTGTGTCTGTCCTGGAACTCTCTTTGGAGACCAGGCTGGCCTTGAACTCACAGAGATCCGCCTGGCTCTGCCTCCCGAGTGCTGGGATTAAAGGCGTGCGCCACCATCGCCCGGCCGAATTTTAATTTTTATTGAAAAAAAAAAAAAAAAAAAAACTGGCTCAACCTAACTTTCCCAAGTGACCAGGCTGTAAATAATCATCCCACCCCTTCCCCCTTACTTTCAACATCCTTTTCAGTTTCCTTGGTAACACAAACATTTGAAGGCCATTTTCAGTCGGATCTGTGCTGAGCAAAAGGCTCTGCAGCCAACCCAAAGAACCACAGGAAAGAAAAAGGGCTTCAGACACCCCTAACTCTTTCCTCCATGCCAGAAAAATTATTAGTACTTCCGTTTTGCCATAAGATTTCCACTTTGGGCTGCACCCTACCTCTTGGGGATGACTGGTTAAAAAAAAAAAAAAAAAAAAAAAAAAAAACCTAGACTAAGCTTGATTAAGTCCTGTCTGGCCAGACTACTTTGGCTAGATGCTGCTTTTATGACCCCGTCACTAAGAACTCCGATTTACCCTGTTGGTGATCCATCTGGAGCCTCACCACCACCACCAGGAGAACAAAACACAAGACATGAGACAAGAGGAAGGATCCAGGGAGTGCTGCTAAAGGTTCAAAAGAAGCAAGGTGACAGCAGCTGTCCTTTCAAAGAACAGGAGCTCAAGGATACACAAAGTATGGCCCGGGACTGGGAGAGCCCCCACTCCGAGGAAAGAGTATTGACACGTGAGAGTTTGGCAGTTAGCCTAGAAACGCACTGCTATGCTTTCACCATCTGGTTAAGAGCCAAAGCTAACCCTACAAAGACAGATTCAACTTGTCCCCAAACCGGTCCCCTATACAACCTACACTGCAGCTTCCTCAAGACCTATTTCCCAACTCAGAGCCAAAGGGCCAGAAAGGAAGTAGACCCTGGAGTTTGGGGGACTTGCAAGTCACAGGGCATGTCCCCAGGCAAGGTGACTGGTCCGTAAGTAACTCAGAAGTGAGTCAAATTTTACAGAGCCAGAGCCTAAGAAGAGTCCATACGTGCCCCAGTAGTCACAGAAACAGGTAGTTTTAAAAGCCCTTACAGACCTGGAGAGATGGCTCAATAGTTAAGTATATACTGCTCTTTCAGACAACCCAAGTTTGGTTCCCAGTATCCATATCAGGTGACTGACAGCTGCCCTGTAACTCCAGCTCCAAGGGATCCATCTAATGGCTTTCTGGCCAATTCAGGCAGCTGCTATCACACAGACACACGTAATTGAAAATAAATAAAAGCAATTTTTTTAAAAAAGTCATTCACATCTGGTGGTGGTGGCACACACCTTTAATCCCAGCACTGGGAAGCAGAGGCAGGCGGATCTTTTTAAGTTCAAAGTTAGCCTAGTCTACAGAGCTGAGTTCCTGGACAGCCAGGGCTACACAGAGAAACCTTGTCTCGAAAAACAAGTCATTTACATCACCCCATTAGGTTTGAGCTAAATTACTTACAAATATAGATAAAAATAACCTCTCACCTTTCCAATATCCAATCTAGATATAGAGACAGCCAAAACTAGTGTAGGGGTTACAAACCAATTCCTTAATGTCCCCTCTATTCACCTAACTCTTCCACAATGAAGGTGTACTGAAACCAATGTTTTTGCAACAAGAGTCTCTGTGCCTGAAGGAGCCAAGGCTGCTTCCAGTTCTGAACTTAACTAGTTTTTTTTTTAAGTAATTGCTTTCACACAAGTACCAGACACTGTATGTCCCAAGGGATGAAATGGTAAACAAACTTCAACTCTAGATGAGAATTCAAGAAGGAGATTAGTGGTGCATGCCTTTAATCCCAGCACTTGGCAGTCACAGACAGATAAAATTTTTGAGTTTGAGGCCAGCCTGGTCTACAAACTGAGTTCCAGGCTAGCCAGAGTTACACAGTGAGACCCTGTTTCACCCCTCCCCCTCCAAACACACACACCAACACACACAAAAGGAAATTAGGCCGGGCGGTGGTGGCGCACCCCTTTAATCCCAGCACTCAGGAGGCAGAGTCAGAGGCAGAAGGATCTCTTGAGTTCGAGGCCAACCTGGGCTACAGAGTGAGTTCCAGGAAAGGCACAAAGCTACACAGAGAAACCATCGTGAAACCCACCCCCCCAAAAAAAAGGAAATTAAAACTATCAGAATCTAGAGGAACAAAACAATTCCCGTTTACTTGTCAGTCACACCTTTTTGTTTAAAAAAATCATGGGAAGAGCTAGAGACAGGTCAGTTGATAAAGTGCCTGCCTGAAAGTACATCACAGAGCCTATGTGATAAAACCAAAACCAAAACACAAACCACACACACACACACACACACACACACACACACACAGAGAACACACAAAACAGGCATGGTGATGCAACTCGTAATCCTAGCACTTAGGAGGCAGACAGGCAGATTCCCTGAGGCTCACTGGCTGGCCAGGCCAGCCAGCCTAAACTACTTGATGAGTTCCAAGCCAGTGAGAAGACCCAATCTCTCTTTCCCTACCCCACTACCCCCATAGCTAATAGGCAAGTGCTCTACCACTGAGCTAAATCCCCAACCTCTAGAAGACCTTGTCTTTAAAAAAAAAAAAAAAAAAAAAAAAAAGCTAGATAGCACCTGAGGAAAGACAGCCCAGGAACCTCAGGCACCCAAACTACACACATGTACATACACATACACGAAGATCCAGGGAGAAAATAATGAACAAATCAAGACCTTTTCATGCAGCTTCCAAACACCATGGAGTGACCCGAGCAAGGAACTTTATGAAGATGTATGTGCTTTTCGTTGCTTTATGGAGAAACCCGGTCCATTCCTTTAAAAGGTCTCTATTTTCAGGGCTAGCCAGTTCTCTCAAATAGGCTAATACCTATATCATATTTCAAGGACACTTAACTTTAATAAAAATAAAATGTCGAAACCCAAATAAAAACCTTACTTTTTTTGTTTAATTTGTTTTGCCAAACAAACACAGTGAAAACTTTAGTCTAATTGTACAGAAAATAGAATTTGTAACCAGTAGCAAACATAACAAGATAAACCTAAGTCCCTGGTAAGCTGGATCTCCATCAGCAAGTCACCTAGAGCACTCTCATAAATGACCTTCTGGGTAGAGAGGTCCTAGAAGGCAGAGACACAGGTCAACTAGTCCCCATCAGAATCACAGGCTGCACCTGAAACAGGTAAGCATGAAAAGGAGAAATGATGTTACTGAGATCTCTTATCACTACACACAGCAAAGCTGTCTCTAACTGCTGGCCAACCTTAAGATGTGGTTTTCTCAAACCCAAGGTCCCTAAGAGTCCCACCTGCATCCCTCCAGGATAAGTTTCAAGTTCAATGGTTCTGAAACCTTTGCTTAACCAGAATCTGCAACATAAACTGGGGAGTGAGAGACAAAGTCATAATTGCTGGTGTCACCAGATTCTGAAGTTCCCAACTCCTACTCCAGGAGGAAACAAATGAGGGTGCCAGATGACCAAGAAGAGTCCCGTTCGTTGCCCTAAACCTCAACACTGTCAACCAGAATATTGGGGAATTCAATATCCGCCTGAGGATTCCTTGGGCTGGAAGGTGTCACGAATTCTGCAGGTTGCTGAGGGGAACCGTTCACATTCCGTGCTTCTTACGGATGACAGCCATGGCAAGCAGGCGATCCTTCTCGCGAAGTTCTTCACGGAGCTTGGCCTCGGTAAGACGCAGATGGCGGATGCTACCCTTCATCTCTTTCATCTTCACTTCCATCAGGGCCAAGATGTCCCGCTGCTCATTCAGCTTGCGCAGGAGCTCCTCCTCCGTGGTACCTGACGACAAGGAGTATGAGTGGTCGGAGCCAGTATCAGGGAAGCCCTCTTCCCCTACCACCACTAGCTGAGGGCCTAGAGTGCACTCAGCGGCCTCCAGCCCAGCAGTAGCAGCCTCTAGCTCCGATGCGGCGGCCGCGGCGGCTGCGCCTTCAGCAGCTGCAAACTCTACTTGCACCGTAAGGTCGATGGGCTTCACATCCTCTCCCGAGGGAGTAGTGGGCGCCGGAGCCACGGATCCCGGAGCCTGGCTGCTGTCTACAGCGGCCTGAAGGGTAAGAAGCACGGCCGCAGAGGCAGACACCAGGTTTGGCTGCAACTGGGTGGTCTGGGCAGTGGAGGAGGACGGAGACGGCTGCTGTTGTTGCTGTTGTTGTTGTTGTTGCTGCTGCTGCTGCTGCTGCCTACGGCGGGCTGCCGCAGCTCCCGCAGGTCTCCGCGCTACTTTGCGCTCATTGACACCGCGCAGCGGGAAGATGGTGGGAACGCGCACCGTGTAGGTCTTGCGGCCGCCCTGGAAGTGAACGCTGCAGAGACGGTGGCCCGTGGTGGGCTGGAAGGTGGAGAAGCACCCACTGACGCCGGCACGGGACACGTTCTTGAGCCAGAGGCGCCGCAGCTCAGCGTCCTTGGGAAACGTGTAGAAGTGCAGTGCCTTGTCCCGGTGTGAGTTGTTGTAGCAGCCCGGTACGCAGCACGTAAAGCCAGGCATGGCTGCGACGCGCGGCCCGGCCCACCGGCCTCTTGCGCTCTTCGACGGCCGGGTCCGGCCCCCGCCTCAGCTCCTCGACGGGCGGCGCCGCGCGAGGCCCTTCGAGACCTCTCACTATTGCCACCCAGCGCAAGTCGTCCCGGGCGGGGGCCCCGTGCCTAGAATATGCTTGCGGACCGCCCGCGCTGCGCTACCCACCCGGCCGCCCGCCTGCGCTCCGGAGTCGGCCCGGGGGACGCCGCGAAGGACCGCCTGGAAAGGAGGACTACGCCCCCCACAATGCACCGCGCTAAAAGCCGCTCACTTCCGGGACGGGGGCGTGCTTATTCCGGCTGTTTTCCCGGGCTCCGCGACATCCTGCTGAGATCCGATTATTTTCCAGATGAAGTTCACCCCAGGCGGAAGGGGAAAATGTATTCGAATGGAACGTTGTCGCATGGGCTACCCCTCACAAGGACCCGGAATCCTGATGGTACGGGGGCGCGAGCCTCCTAAGCGCAAGCGCTCTGGATATAAGCACACAAAAACTACAAGTTCCATGCTGCCTCAGAAAACGTTGCGGCTGCTGCCTGGGACTGCAGCGCCGCATAAGGGAGAGGCAGAGTTCCTGCAAGCCAGGATTTGAGGGAGGTTTTGTAGATTGCTCTAGAAGTTCCCAACCCCCAGTCCCTTGGAGTGGAGGGCATTGCTTAGCCTGGAGGGAACCCGAGTCAGCCCAGAAAGCCCTCTGGAGTCACTCTCTCATATTGAGGGCACTCTTCTGACTCTCAGCTACCTCCTACTTGGACTCACTAACCTAAACCAGGTCCCTAATAGCTGCTACTATGTGTCAGAGTGAGACCATAGAGAAGGTAGTTTTGAGCAGTCAGGTCCACCCAGCCCTCTCTCTCCTGGAGACTGACTAGAGTGTCTTTTGGATAATGAATAAATATGCGCTAATAGATGTCTAGTCAAGAACAAATGTCATAACAAATTCAGATTTATGCATTTGCACGAGTAAGGAACCCGCAGTTGGCAGGGCCAGAGTATCCTACACCCAGGCGCTGCATCCACGTGGAGATTTTATTATAATAAAGAGATAAGGAGAAACATAGGAAAGAGGGAGACAAGAAAGAAAGAGAAGAGAGAGAAAGCAGAGGTATGCACACCTCATGGGAATGGAGGAAGAGGGGGGAGAGAGAGAGAGGAAGGGAAGGGGTTTTTCCTTTAAGTCAGGACACAGGGTGGCCCTAAGGGGCAGGTTTCCAAGGGTGGGTCAGAATACTAACAGTTCTTTGTTTTGATTATTATAAAAAGAAGTGAGTTATGGAAGCAAGTAGGGGAAAAAGGGCATTGAATTCCGGAGACTGCTTCAAGCTGACAAAGGGCTAGGTGGGGAGGGGGAACCAGGAGTCATGCACAGCAGAAGATCTCAGGAACATTCCTTGAGGGAGCTGAGGAGGCAGGTTGCAGCAGTGGTGTTCCAGGAGATTGGGGGGAAATGGCATGCCAAATCAGGAGTATAGAAGCCATGGCATCTGCTGTTTCTCTGGAGGTCAGGTGGGAACAGTGACTCTGCAAAATATGCTCGGAAAAATAGGTGGGGTCAGAAATGGCCTCTGGAGATTGTTAGTTTTCATCAGACCAGATTTCTTGATGAAGTAGCAGAACTTTTCCCAGGAGCCTGTAGGTATCTGTAAGACAGCTGGAATAGATTTAGCAGAACTTTTCCTAGGAATCTGTAAGTATCTCTAAGACAGCTGGAATGGATTTATATCATAGCAAAGGGGTTAAAAATCTTAAGAACCACTTGTTAAAACTTTGAACCTCTGGAGTTACCTGAAACCAGTCTACCCTGTGTATATATATAAATCTTGGGGTTGGGGCTGTTAAACTGATACCCTAGTCATCAAACATTGTCAGATCTGAGAAGGATAAATTTAAGAAGTGAGACGGCTTTCCAGCTACCTAGGCAGCAACCCCAAGTCTCTCCGTGGTCGTTGGGGGACAGAGGCCCCAAAGGCAGTACTTGTTCAGCAGCTAGGCCCAGAAGATCTGACAGATTTTTTTCTGTGGAATAGAAATTTGGAGAGACTGACCCACCTTGATTTTGCAGTAGGGGGCAATTGGTCCTCCATTGTTCCACTTATTCACAGTCTGGACAGGATCTCAGCTCTTCGTTATGTGACTGGCCTTGCCATGAGCTTCTGGGTGGAAGTTCTTCTGCGGCCATCCGTCTTCTTGGAGGAGATACAGGATGCTGCCAGGAGCTGACATGTCTCTTTATCATAAAAAGGTTTTACGTTAGATGACATATTCTCAGATCTACAGGTGTTTGAGGACTGGGGGAACAAAATCTGTTAGATTTATTTATAACTTTGAGAGCATATATATGACTTAAATCTGAATATACAGGTTTCCCAGTTAGTTACAGCTTAATGAAGTTAGCAAGGAAAGGGGGGCTGATCTTTGAGTACAGCCAGATTACAATCCTGAATAAATTATATATAAATAATTATTTCTTAAGCTGTTTTCTGAAAAGGCAAAGAAGAGTGACAGGGAAAGATCCCAGAGCCGAATGAGAACAGGAGGAAAGGGGCTTGTGAGTCAGGGTGAAGCCCAACTCTGAGAAAAGGACCTTCTGAGAAGAGGTAAAGGACCCTCTTGGTGGACCAGAAACTCCACCCTATGATTTATATAGAAATAATAATTTCTTAAAGTCATACAGTAATACCTCCCTGGTTCTGCATAAAGAAAGTCAAGTGGGGTTGGGGATTTAGCTCAGTGGTAGAGCGCTTGACTAGCAAGTACAAGGCCCTGGGTTCGGTCTTCAGCTCTGAAAAAAAAAAGAAGGTCAAGTGTCTTATCTTGTTGCAGAACCATTTTAATTAATAAATATCAATGGGCATTAGAAAGCCAATTGGTCCTCTATGCCAGGGGGTTTCCTTTTGACCCAGCATTTCAGCCTATTCTGGACAGGGAACATGGGACGATGTATTCTCTCTTCTGGAACTGCTTCGAGCTGGCATTGGGTGTTGTAGTCAGGGCTCCCAAAAAGGTTGAAAGGCCAGTCAAAGGCTGAAAGGCCAGTCAAAGGCTGGGCAATGGGGCATTTGTCAGAACTATATGGTTATCTGACCCAGCTGTAGAGACAGGGAACAATCACATTGGCTGAGCTGGACCATGTCAGCTTTTAGCAAGTCCAGAGGAGTGTAGTCAGCAACTGAATCTTAGAGGTGTCTGCCAGCCAAGTGGAAACCTGTTGAGACAAATTTTTTTTTCAAGACAGGGTTTCTCTGTGTAGCTTTGGAGCCTGTCCTGGAACTCACTCTGTAGCCCAGGCTGGCCTCGAACTCACAGAGGTCCACCTGGCTCTGCCTCCCGAGTGCTGGGATTAAAGGCATGCACCACCACCGCTGAGCTCTGTTGAGACAAATTTAAACTAGGAACAGAAGTTAAAATTTATGAACTTATTTGGAATTTTTAGGCCCATATTCTTAGTAATTGGGAAGAGCAGGAGTCCCAAGACCAGGCTGTACTTATCTGGAGTCCTTCCAACCTCTGTGAAGTGGATCCAGGTTTTATGACTCTTTTAATCCTCTGAGGCCTATATGAATTATCTTACAAAATGACACAAACTTTAGATACATTATTATTACCAATCAGTATTGAAATCCAAATTGTAGGAAAGCAGGTAATAACTAACCAAGGAAAATTTAAAATCCTGAGTTTGTGACCCTAAGTATTAGAATTGTATTAATGTTTTTTGTTGTTGTTTTGCTTTTTGGTTTTGGTTTTGTTTTTTGGGTTTTTTTTTTTTTTTTTTTTTTTGGTTTTTTGAGACAGGATTTCTCTGTGTAGCTTTGGAGCCTGTCCTGGAACTCACTCTGTAGCCCAGGCTGGCCTTGAACTCACAGAGATCCACCTGGCTCTGCCTCCTGAGTGCTGGGATCAAAGGCATGCAACACCACCACCCGGCAAAATTTTTCAATCTTAATATAATGATTCCACCTGCATGTAGTCCGGCTGGTGCCCCAGAGGGGAGTGCATACTTCTCCAGGCCCTACCCACACTAGTGGCTTCAGAGGAATGAAGGAATGCCAGGCTGCGACTAGAGGGCTTGAGTGCCTGGTGCCCTGTCCATAACTTGAGTCAGGGAGTGGACTTCCCGGTGCCATTAGTAAAGATGGTGGTGAGGTCATATGACCTGTCTGTTTTGACCTTAATTAAGATGGCGTCAGCCAGGCTGTGGTGGTGCACGCCTTTGATCCCAGCACTCGGGAGGCAGAGCCAGGCGGATCTCTGTGAGTTCGAGGCCAGCCTGGGCTACCAAGTGAGTCCCAGGAAAGGCACAAAGCTACACAGAGAAACCCTGTCTCGAAAAACCAAAAAAAAAAAAAAAAAAAGATGGTGCCACCTGACCACAGGAACACCCCTACCAAATATGGCACCTGACCATGTGTTCATGTGGGTTTTTTTTCCCCCCCAAGATAAACTGAGCAGATAAGAAACATAAAGTGAAGTATTTAAAAGTCAATCCGGCCAGGTGGTAGTGGTGCACACCTTTAATCCCAGCACTCAGGAGGCAGAGCCAGGCAGATCTCTGTGAGTTCTAGGCCAGCATGGTCTACAGAGCGAGATCTAGAACAGGTAACAAAACTACACAGAAAAACGCTGTCTTGAAAAACAAAAAAGAAAAACCAAAAAAGTCAGTCAGAAAGAAATATAGATGGCCATATCAGTCATACATTTCCATTCGTACATAGGAAATAGACTTTGTGGAAGAAAGATGGAGAAAAGTTTTTCTGGGAAATTTTTAAGGTTAATGAATTGGAGCTTGGAGAAACTGAGTAGCAGTGAAGGCTGGCAGGAGAGAGGGGTCCCCCGGGCTGCAGAGCATGGTGCCAGTGACCATGGGGGGGTGGGGGGGCGGAGCCTTTGCTCTGCCTGGCTTGACTCAGCAGTATGAGGGGTGGTGGCAGTGGTGGCCACAGAACTAAATTTCTGCAGTTAGTCAGAGGGCTGCCAGAGGGGGAGGGATGGCAACCAGAAAGTTGGTTTTGAATGAAAACAATTCTCATGATAACCAGACAGTAGGTGGTCTTCCTCCCAGTCTTTGTGGGTGGGACAAGGCAACCAGGCCTGGTGGTGCAGACCTGAAATGCTGATTAGTTGAGAAGGTGAAACAACACCATATTCAAGGACAGCCTGGGCAACTTAGACCCTGTCTGGAAATAAATAAAACAGAACTGAGAGAGATAAGTAGTAAGGCACTTGCCTCTCACAAAGGAGGTCCCCAGAACCAAAACAAATAACAAAAACAGGAGAAAAGCCCATACATTACCATTACATTTCTAGAGCTCCTTGGTTATTTGTGTGGGTTTTTGCTCACTTGTAAATAAGAGAAAAGCCTATTTTCCTGGCCTAAGCAAGTGGGGCTACAGCTGAAATCTCTTTGTATCCAAAATGTATTAACCCACTGTGTATACAGTAGAATGAAAGGTGTGTATTCATTTCAGTGAATCATTTATACAATAGTATAAACATAGCCTGGCATGATGGTTTTCATTTTCTTTTTTTTCTTTTTTCTCAAGACTGTTTCTCTGTTCGGCCCTGGCTGCCCTGGGACTTACTCTGTAGACCACACTAGCCTTGAACTCAGAGATCTGCTTGCCTCTGCCTCCCAATGCTGGGATGATGTGCCACCACCATCCAGTTTGATGGTTCACAATTTTTTGGTTTTTTTTAGACAGTTTCTTTGTGTAGCCTTGACTGTCCTGGAATTTGCTCTGTAGACCAGGCTGACCCTGAGGCCTTACACTCACAAAGATCTGCCTGCCTCTGCCTCCCAAGTGCTGGGATTAAAAGTGTGTGCCATCCCTCCGACCTCAGCTGATGGTTCACAATTTTAATCCCAGCATTGAGGGGGCAAAGGCAAGCTGATCTCTGAGAGTTCAAGACCAGCCTGGTCTACACAGAGAGTTCTAGGAGAGCGAGGTCTACATTAAAAAGACCCTGTATCAAAACAAAACAAATGGTATAAATGTTATTTATTAAGCGGCACAGTGTTATTCATTAGGCGGTGCTGTTTACCTGCGAGAAAAGCCACAAAGTACGACAAAACCCACTATAGGAGTTTATTAAGGGGAGGAGATAGAAGGGGTGCTTAGGCCTATGGGAAGATGGTGCAGGAAGAGAAGGAGAGATATGTGGAACCCGCCTTTATAGATTCCCTGCCTCTCACGCGTGCATATGGGCTTACGTAGCTACGCCACACATACGCATAGATTACATGATCACACTGTGTGCAAATTATGTGATCATGCAGCACATGGATTAAATAGGATGTAAGGCCCTAGGATGACTAAGCATCTTGCCTGGCTACTGGACAGCTCATGTGCCGTCATGTAGCTGGGGGAGTGGCTAGGAATTCTAACAATAAATATTGTTTATATAAATACAGTTGTATACATTTATTAGTTTTTTAAGTTAGGATTCAAAGTAATGGGAGACATTTATATATATATATTTCATTAAATATTGTTCCATGGTGTGTATGTGTGTATAGGGGGTATAGTGTGTGGTTGTGCATGTTCATATGTATGCCTGTGAGTGTGTGTGGAGGTCACAGGTCAATTTGGGGTATCATTCCTCAGGAGCCCTTCACCTTTTCTTTTTAAGGCTGGCCAGCCAGGGAGCTGCAGATATCCACCTGTCTTACAACCTCCCAAGCACTGGAATTAGAGACACCGTGCTTAGTCCCCCCTCCCCCAAAATTTATTTATTTATTTAATTTTATTTTCAAGACAGGGTTTGTCTGTGTCCTGGAACTCACTCTGTAGACAAGGCTGGCCTCGAACTCACAGAGATCCTCCTGGCTCTGCCTTCTGCGTGCTGGGATCAAAGGCATGTGCCACCATCACCCGGCTATTTATTTTTATTTTATGTGCATTGGTGTTTTGCCAGCATGAGTATCTATCTGTATGAGGGTGTCGAATCCCCTGCAACTGGAGTTACAGACAGTTGTAAGCCACCATGTGGGTGCTGGGAATTGACCCTGGGTCCTTTGGAAGAGCAATCAGTGCTCTTAACTGCTGAGCCATCTCTCCAGCCCCCCATGGTTGGCTTTTCACTTGATTAAAAAGCAAATAGCAGCCGGGTGGTGGTGGCGCACGCCTTTAATCCCAGCCCTCGGGAGGCAGAGCCAGGCGGACCTCTGTGAGTTCGAGGCCAGCCTGGGCTACCAAGTGAGTTCCAGGAAAGGCCCAAAGCTACACAGAGAAACCCTGTCTCGAAAAACCAAAAAAAAAAAAAAAAAAAAAAAGCAAATAGCATTGAAGAAGATGCTCCATTAGCCTCTACCTTCAGTACATAAAATAACCTTTAAATATATACTTATCACAGTCACATAATAACTAGTAAATTGAAATTGTTGCTGTGTGAGAATAGGAACAGGCCTGCAGCCCCCAAAGCAAACAAACAAAAACATCCATGTAGTCCATAATTTCCCTTCACCTCCACTGCCCTGCCCATCCTGTCATCTTGTCATCTCTAGTGAAAAGCAAGAATCATATCATGGGTCTCTGCTTCTAATCTTGCTTCCTCCACAACTGTTCTTCTGATGCTGCAAAGAAAATCTGAGAAGTCAGATGCCACTCAAGTGGCTCCCTAGCCCCTTTAGAATGCTTTCTGAATTCTTTCCTGCAGCCTCCAAGAATCCACACACATAACCCGACCTTGCCAACCTTTTACCATCCTCTCAGCCTCACTTCAACCCGTGTTGTTATTGTTTGAAAAATAACCTTGGACTGGAAAGATGGCTCAGTAGGTAATAGTATTTGCCACCAAGCCTGAAGATCTGAGTTCAATCCCTGGAACCACACAGTGGGAGGAGAGAACCAGAGAACCAACTCCTGCAACTCGTCTTCTGATTTTTGGTTTGTTTTTCGAGACAGGGTTTCTCTGTGTAGTTTTGGTGCCTGTCCTAGATCTCATTCTGTAGACCAGGCTGGCCTCGAACTCACAGGGATCTGCCTGGCTCTGCCTACCGAGTGCTGGTATTAAAGGCATGCGCCACCACCGCCTGGCTCATCTTCTGATTTCTACTTGTACACTGTGACATGTACATACCCACACACATATAAAATAAATAATAAAAGCGAAAATTATAAATAGTAGAAAGTAGCTGGGTGGTGGTGGTAGTGTATTCCTTTAATCCTAGTACTCAGTTTTTAAGTGGGGCCCTTATGGTACCATATGCCCAAGGAGTCTGGAGTCTAGGATGTTTATATGGAAGACCCACCTTGGCCCTCCCTCTCTATTTACCCAGACTCTGCCCCAAAGAAAGGCTGCCAAGCGTCAGCTCCTCCCCCAGGGTTGTTCAAGACCATGCCTACAGGCTATTCAAGACCTGGTCACCAGATCTGCCATGTGATTCCTCTCCTGCCTTCATGATGTGAGTTGTTTTGCTCTGTTTATTAAACCTGGATTTATTAGTTAAGCCTGATCTGATTTATTACATCACAGAGTTACCACTAACAGGGGCTATTTTTACTTATCACTCAGGATAAGTAAAAGGAGGCCGAGGCAGACAGATCTCTGAATTCGAGGCTAGCCTGGTCTACAAAGTGAGTTTCAGGACAGCCAAGACTACACAGTGAAACCGTGTCTGGAAAAAACCAAAAAAAAAAAAAAAAAAAAAAAAAAAAAGAAAAAGAAAGAAAGAAAGAAAGAAAGAAAAATAATAAAG